AGTTTTTTTTATAAATTTAGTATTTGGCATATTATACAAGGTTAATCGAAATGTTGGCTTTTTTTACCCTAACTTTAAAACACCCTGTGCAATAATTTCGTGTGTAAATTTTCCTAAAATATAATTTTATGGTCAGAACAATGACTCCTGAGCATTTTGTTTTTTGATTCATATCAGTATATGCTTTGGTTAATTTTTAAGAGCGAAACGAACTGATCACGATCAATTTGTAATTTTCTCCAATTGCCATTATCTTTTGATGTAATTTTTTAATATGACGAGATGGTTTTAGAAGTTACGCTGCATTGGATACTTTATACTAAATAAAAAAGAAAACACGTTAAAGACTAACGATACAGTTCTGGTTTTGATAAACATTAATATCGATAACAGAACTAACGATATTAAAGAAAGCATCTGTAATACTCAAGTATACAAACAGAAAAAATAAATAAAAAGTACCCTAAAACTTTACATTGCTTTTCTTGGCTGCTATAACTGCCTGTTTACATCCATTCATACTGTCATTGAGGCGCATACAGTACGTCTGTCCGTTCTGTAGCTACGGGGTATCCGTGAGAGGGGAAACGATATTCTCTCGATCTTTTTCGTAAAAAATTAGACGACGCGTCCCATCAATAAAAATTCGACAAATTTGCAAGTAGCCAATAAAATGAGTGGGCGGAGCAAATAAAATATATTGCTTTTTATTTAAATGTTTTTTGTCCGCAGTCCTTTCATAGACACAGATTCAGCAGACGTACTGTATAGCATATTGCGTTATGCCTTCCCATTCTTCTTTAAGAACCAAGCGGAGTTAATTTAATGAAGCGGGCACCGCTTAGCAACCTCTAACTCTCCTGCCAAGCTTGTCCCAAACGTCGAACATGATGAGCAGTTTATAGTAGTATCCTTGTATATGAATTTTTAAAGTAGCTCAACCTAAGACGTTTATGGATGTAAAGCACCAGATCGCGGGGCGTATTTCACAGTCTTTTACTAGAGAAAAATATTTTTTGTTACTCTGAATTTTGAAGCGGCCAATAAAAACAGAGAAAATAAAAATCGATAATTTTCGGACTGTGCCAATTGGTTACTAATCGACCAGATACTTTTTGTCTATTAGATATGCTATAAAAGCTGGTAATTACACAATTCGACCATTGTAAATACCCGACAAACTCCGCAAGGCCGACGAGGTCAATGTTTTTCACTGATAAGAAAAAAAAAATGTTTGTTTAGATAATTTTCGAGATTTTTTGAGGTTCAAGTTAACGTCTCCTTTCTGCTGCAATGGCTAAACTGGACGGGACCTACTTGTTTACGCGGAATCCGAACCGCGGTCCTCGGCCATATCATGGTCAATGGCCTACCGACTTAGGAAGTGTCTAAATTAACTCTTACTCACGAGATATCGATCTCATCCGGCCTTGAACCGGCGTGAATGAGCAGGTTGTATCAATAGATTTTACACTTTTCCCTTTTTGGACAACAGCACGATGCAAAGTTTCGAACCGGTCACCCGTCCATCCACTAGCATCGCCTTACGTCGCTTAACTTCGGTGTTCTAATGGGAACCGGTGTTTCGACGTAGCTGGGCCGTTGCCCTAATTTTCGAGATATTTTTTCTTTCTGAATGCACATTTTAAAGTATTTTATATTCTTTGTCCGCTTGATCTATTATACTGGTCGCACGTATCGAAGTTTTATTTCATGTAGTTTTAAAATATTTTCTTGTTTCTTTGTAGTTGTAATGTAAAATTAAGATTAATTTATTGAAGTTTTGATTATAATGTTTAGTGTAGACTACCAGAAGAAATTTAGTAGTGTTTTTTTATATTTTATTTTGAAGTTAAGTAGTAGGTGAAGGGGTAATTTAAGGTTAATTTTTCTTTATGTTTGATTAATTAATAAGTTTGATAATTTGTTTAGATGTAGAATACAAAAGTAGTTTGTGTAGTGTTCTTGTAAGAGATTATATTCATTTATTTTGTAGTTGAGTAGAAGGTGAATTTATTTGGGTATTTTTTTCTTTTTTGTTTTTTCTTCTAATAATTATTGTAATAGTTCTTTTTTAAATATTGTGATAGATACATTATAATCTTCCCTTCTACTTTTCTGGTAGCGTTGAATATACGAAAAAAATCTGATCAAATTTATTTTAAATGAAATTAATCTAGTCTTATTAATTAATCAAATTAAACTAGTCAAATAATATTAATTGCAATCAATTATTAAAAAAATATTAATTATTTTGGAAAATAACTTTTGAAATGGAGTATTATTGATAAAATTTAGCCAATTTTTACCCAGTAGCGTATTTCAATATGATCTTATCATTTATCACTGTATAATAACTTTGTTGTGGCAGAAAAATATACCAGTTAGTTTCAAAATATTATTTTTTTTTCAAACGTCACAAAAGTATTAATTTTTGCGACGTGATTGGCAATATAAAAAAGTCATTTTAACGCCTAGGCATAAAAAAGTAAAGCACTTTACGCCTAAGCATAAAAGTATGAAAATATATTATTAAAATGACATAAGTATCCAAATTCAACGAGCCGCCATAGTTTCTCGATATATAATTACTCATGGTACAAAGAAAACTTGAAAACAAGGTATGGTCGATATGTCTCAATTTCGTTCAGTTTGCGCATATCGCCTGTAGACGTCATATGCCATACAACAAAATATCCGTATTGTTCAATGGCCACTAATAAAAAAGACCTAAAATAGGGAAGAATTAAATAACCCCTAAAGTTATCGCTTAAAATCATCGAGCTGGACATTTTGAAAAGTTATGACATTATTATACATTTATTATGTGTCATCTGTTTGAAAAAATTTGAAATTGGCGCGTGGAGCTTGCCGACCAATATTGCCGTTTATCACCTGTGACGTGGTGACCAACCGCGCAATATCATACCTTGTTTTTTTGTATCATGATAATTACTTACAAGGTATGAGTTTTAAATATTTTTATATTATTTGGAACGTTTGAAATTGTTTGAAACATTATTTGTATGTTTGAGAAAAAAATAGCATGTTCTATTCGGAGTAAAAATGACTTTTGTGCTTCGGCTGTATGTCAAACCTACAGTCTCGCCACGAAAAGTGTCATTTTTACTCCTATAATAAAACAATATACTAGAAAGTTTTATGGTTTAACGAGCTTTGTGAGTTAAAACATAAAGATATTTTCAGTTTTTATAATTCTTGATCGAAAATAAACGGCGTCAGCGATGGCTATGAAATGAAGATCGCTGTCATTTTATATGTAAATTTATGTGGGAAATGTCGTCGATCGTCATTTTCCTGTCAACTGGACGCCGTTTTTTTTTCATATGGTACAAAGTTAAAACAAACTTGACTCTGACCGTGTTTTACGCTAAGAAATATTTATTTCGTGTAATAAAGATTTAAATGGTGTATTAAGTACATAATATTTATTTAAATGTCAAATAATATTATTGAAACAAGTTCCAAGTTATATTTTTAATTAAGAAAAAAATTGTATAAACGTCTTGTTTTCAAAAAAAAATTATCTTAAATTCGTAAAACTTCAATTTAGAATAAAATTATCGAAGAATGAAATAAAATTTTATAGCTCTGGGTCAAATCGAAATAAAGTAAGTGTATGTAACTTTTTTTAAATATTAATAATTACCAGTAATTAGCATTAATGTACCAACATATTGAAAATTGTTATTTCTTTGTTAAATACGGTTTAGAATCCTTAAAATAACAGCAAAAATAATCGAAAATCAACAATGAAATAATAGTTTTGTTTAAATTTCTTAATCAGCTGAGCCCTATTATAGTTCGCAAAAAATCCTTGAGCTATATTATTACATTGCTCTGAGGGGAAATACCGCAATTAATCGATATTTTTGACTCCGCCCCTAATCACATGCTTCATTCCTTTAAAGCTTTACGATTTGTTCACCAGAGGCAGCACATTTTGTCGAGAGGTTGACCAACTTTAAGAATATATAAACAAGGGTAGTATATAGTTCACAATAATCACTAAAGCCGGCTTATCATATTGAAAAATCAAAAAGAAAATTAAATGATAAATGAGAAAATTGCAAATTGTTGGTGTCAAGTTTATTTCGCTCTTAAAAATTAACCGAGGCATATATTGACATGATCCAAAAAACAAAATGCTCAGGAGACATGGTTCTAACCGTAAAATTATATTACAGAAAAATTTACGCACGAAATTATTGCACAGGGTGTTTTAGGTGTTTTAAAGTTAGCGTAAAAACAACCCCTCGATTAACCCTGCATAATATGCAAAAAAAATAAAAACTGAGTCTACGAATTAAAATTGATATAATTATTTACAGGTTGTTAAAAAAAAATGAAAAAATAGGGCTAAAAATAACAAAAATATAACACTTTAAATTTGACCAAAAATTTCTCCGTTGCGTTTTTTTGGCATCTGAGTGTATTATTTTTGTTTTTATTTAGATTGTAATTAATGAATAGAAAATAGATAAACGAAATATTCGTACGTATTTTTGCTAACAAGAAAAAAAGTCAGTGGCGCACATGTTCCTTTTAGAAAATTATTCTAGTGATAACCCATATGTACGTCCCTGGTGAATCTGTCGACACTTATTTAACACTAAAATATGTAGAACATTTAGTAACTTTACCCCCAAAATTTCATTCGCATCGCTAAAAGCACTTGGTAGAAAATTATAATAAACCGAAAAAAAAATAAAAACCTTAACTCCCTTTGGCTACGAAACGAAGCAGAATCAGACTATGCATGTTATTGATATAAAAAATGGATCTTATTTTTACGTGACGAATCTCCCGCGAGAGATGGCACATGTTTTTTGAAACCTCCTGTATACTAATTTCTGTAAACCAACTTATAACCTTGAATATGTTTTTCTAAAGCGACTTATTTTTGACGTAGGTATTTCAATTCTTAACACGGGAGCTAAAAGGGAATATTTTACGGAGTAAATGTTTATCATACTTACCAGACTTTGTGTTCGAATTTTGCGAATATCTTTGTGTCGCTTGTAAATTAGCGCTGAAACCTCTCGTTATAAAGAATCTCTTCCATCCACAAACGGCTGTTCTGAAATATTGTCGAAACCTGTAATAAAATAAAGATCGTTGTGATAAAATATAAATGTTTGAAAATACAGGCTTATTCATATTATTCGAATTGGATTATTCTAGCTAAATGATTAGATATTATAAATTGAGATATTATAAATCTTGGATTCGTCAAAGAACTACAACTTAAATTTATTTTCAAAAGGTGTACAGTGTCCCAAAATTCAGTATTTTCAGTCGATTATTCTGTATATTATTAAATTCTCCCGTTTAGCATTGTTACACAACGAAAAAAAATCTGCTGAGGAAACATTGCGAAACAGTTTCGGCACATTTTTGATACATATGTTTCGTAAAATAAATCGTTTTTTGTTTCGAAACATTTTACCAAAATATGGTTTCCTACATAAAGTATAACAATAAAGATCTTAGTGTCACAAATTTTTCGAAACTTTTAAGAAACAGATGTGGCTCACATTTATAGATTTCGTACCCGTTTTGTGCCTGAAAAGTTTCCATAATTTACTTGATATTCTGTCAAATATGAGAACATAACCTTAGTTTATTGTTTAGATTTTGTTCTGCAGTTTTTGAATTTAAGCATTCTTCAAGTTTTTATAGTACTCTAATTAAAAAAAAGAAGGAAGGACATAATATGGTGAGTACAAATACAGATATTTTTCTTATGCGATTTTATAATAATTTATTATTCGCATTACAGAGACGATTTGTTTTAGGAATAAATGTAATAACAGCCACTACCCATACCCAACCGGAGACCGAAGAAAAATGTTTCCACCAAAAATTTTTTTCTCTTTTTTTATAAATTACATATATATAGGAATACATATTTTTATATTTTAATTGTGTTATAAAATATGTTTTACTAAAATATAAAATATAATATAAAAATATTTTAATTATTTTGACTCGAAGTTTTATTGGCGTTGTTGACAGGTGACTAGTTCGAATTTCTACACAGATAGCGCTAAATCGAAACATTTTGGAAACAAGGTTTCCATTGATTGTCGATTCATTTTCGAAACACGAGTTTCTCTCTTTTTAGACACAAATATGATATAATGTAGATGATTTGTGGTCCGACTCCATATCAATTTTATAAAATAATGAATTAAAATTCCGCCGTGTCGGCTAGTGATAGCGTTTTTAACCAAAAATATAGAGAAAACCTAAGAACAAGGATTTTAAGACAAAAAAATTATGGCGGAAGTTGACATTGTTGATGGTTGTTTTCAATGAAATCCACACACAGACTTAGACTATTTTACTTCGGTATTTGTTTCTTCACATTTTGAAACAGTGGCAGCTGAAAGCGGGAATATCTTGGACACAAATTGCAGAAAATGTTTCGAAACATTTCCTCTAAAAGTTTTAATTCCGCATTGAAACATTTCAGGAAACGGCTAGTGGCCACCACATTGGAAACACATGTAATAAAGCCATATAATTAGTTTCCATTTTGTATCAAGAAACCAGACACGATTAATAAAAACATTATCTAAAATGTGTCCAAAAATACTACTTGGGTTAGTTTTTACCACTAAAATAAAGGTAAATTTGATAAAGGTTTATCTCACTTTAATCTTACGTTTTTGAAATATTTACGATTTTCTCAAAATGCAGTAACAATTTTAAGAAAAATAACAGTAGTGTTTTTATTAAAATTGTCACTGTTGTTTGGTGCTGTTGTAACACTAAAGGTTCCATCCCCCAACTGTAATCAAACTCATGTGTTATGGTGAATTCTGATGAATTAGTGGTTTATTTTGCTGTACTATTTAAGTTAAAGAAGTTATTGTTCTTTTTAAAGTTAGTATTTATTTAAAATTCATTTTTTCATACCCATTATTAACTTAAGGTATTATATTATACTATTGCAACTCAATATTTGGTAATTAGAAAAACTTTGCTGTACATTTAGTTTGAAAAACTTGAATGGGCTTAAAGAAATGACGTAATACAATTATTTTTACCCCTTTTTTGTTAAATTACTTAATTGTTAAAATATTTCAAAAACAGTAAGATTTTAGTGACCTTAAACTTCGTGTCGAATACCGTGAATAATTTGTTTCTCTGTCTTAATATTTACCTTGCATTCATCCAGTAATATATTAGAGGATTGACCATGGCATTTGACATCGCGAACCAGTAGAAACTTAGATACACATGTTGGGTGTATTTGCTGTAAATAACTTTTGTGTCGTAGTAGATGTAGATGAAGTAGCTGTGGTAGGGTAGCCAACACAAACCGAAGATCAACACCACTAATATGAACATCTTTACAACCTGTAACAAAAAGAAATACAGAGTGACTTGTTTCTTTCAAAAAATTATTTTTTCAAGTTTCATGAATAAGTTCAGGTTTTCATGTTACAATACCTAATATAAATAATTTTTATATTTTTTAATGCGTTATAAAAATGCATTCGTTACGTATACCCCTTTAAAGAAATTGTTTCACTTTCTATGCATCGGTGAGGGAGGATTTTAACACTTTTTCTACAGATATTTTTTTATTCTTTATTGTTTATAATTTTGTAACCAATAATTTATATCTTAGAAAAAGTATCTACCCATTTTTTACCTTACGAATAGCAACAAAAATTGCGGACCTATTAAATCATTAAGTATAAAGAAAACATTTCCTTATACAGGGTATCCCAGGCTATAATCAAAAAGTAACGAATTGAAAAATCTTTTCTCTAGTGAAATAAAAGACGTAGCTTTCTATTTGGAAAAAATATGATAATGTTTAATTTTAATAAAATTTCTTTGTTAAATATTTTATTTAAAATATATATTATTGTGAAGAATTTGAGGGTGTAATATGTGTGATTTTATAAGTTATATTAACACTGTCAAATTTTTCTTAAAATATCTTTTATAAAAGATCTTTGACAAAGAAATTGTATAGTGTAATAGCGCCCTAAAAAAGGTTAATGTTAAGCATAGAGTGTTTAACATCAAAATTCATTAAATTTTACCGAGAATTTAAAAATGTAATAAAAAATGGGATTACCTATTTAAAATATGAAAATTGCTGTCAAATTCCGGTAAATATTTCCGTAAGTGTCGCTATATTGAAAATATTAAGCGTTAGTTTTCATTGTGAAACAATGAGGTGCAAATAATCTACGATATTGATATTGTACTTGTTCAGAAACTTCTAATGCACGCTCAGCCTGGCCACCCTGTATAAAATATACAATATCATTTTACCAATATGTTGACCAGGATTAACGATTAATTTAATCTAGCGATGACGTATCGTATAAATCTTGGCCGAAACATTTTATGTCGTATATGTAATAGCGTTATGGAATAAGACATTAGCTGCCGTTCTGTCTTGTTTCGACTGCCACTGGTTCCAATCTCGATGAAACGAACTTGTCTTGTTAATTTAATTTTACATATAATTTTTTTCATTTATTTCAATTTAAAAAAGGTGGATATATCTTGACTTAAACCACACTAAAATCCAATAATTAGTTTTCAGCTATGACAAACAAGAAACAAAGATTTTTTGGATCATTAATTTTTTATCTTTAGATATCAATAGTAGATTTGGTACTAATTTTCTAAAACTTGTTCTATCTACATACCTTTCGACATAATTCCTTTATTACATACATTGATTAACATGTCATCATCGTAATATCCCCGATAAGAGACACTAGTTGTATTGTTTGTATTGACTAAGTACTCCACTGCGGCCGCGAGGGCCTATTGTGGGACACTAGTTGTGTAGGCAAATATATTATTTATAAATAGCTAGCTGACCCGGCAAACGTTGTTTTGCCATATAAATTTTTTTTATGGAACAACGGTCATTTTTATTCACGAGGTTGAAAATTATTGAATTACTAATATCGCTATTAAAAAATATGGGTTGATGGTAGAAGGGTGAAGATTTAGGGTGTAGTATGTATTTTTTAATGCCACATCATAAAAAAAATTATAATATTTTTTTTATCTAAAACAAAGAAAATTGGGGTGGACCACCCTTATCACTTAGGGGTAGATAACAACCTATTCTCAGACCTACTGAATATACATATAAAATTTCATCAAAACCCGACAAACCGTTTCGGAGGAATATGGTAACCAAAACTGTCACACCGAGAATTTTATATATTAGATAATATACGAATATACGTTAAAGTAATGCTATTTTCAAGTATCAACGTATCAACCCTTAAAATGAAAGACCACGTCCAGCAAACATATATTAAACGTATAGTGTGGCAAGAATCCAATCCTGTATAATGTAACCAGATAAATGGATTAATGAATGAGAACCTATGAAATTACGTGAATATATTCCTTTAGAAAATGAGTTAATTTATTCCAATTCTTTACTGAGAGACAGAATATTGGTTAAGTATTTTTTTACGTCAGTAAAATTGTTATTGTTAACGCCTTTAACTTCTAAAATGACGCCATTGTTATTAATTCTTAACACTGATAAGAAAAACAAAGTAAAAAAACAAGAAAATACATTGACTCAATTAAGCAGGTGCGATGTTATGGTGCGTTTAGACTTGAGCACGCAGGCACTGATCCTCCATGAATGCTCAAGTGTAAACGGCTGTGCGCGCACGCTCACTCTGAATCTGTCTGTGCGCGAGCAGCCTCGAACGTGAGCCGTCTCGTGTGGGTTTTTTGGTCCGTGCTCAAAGGGATTTTATGTGTGCGTAAACACTCAGTTTGCACTGGCAATTTGTTTTGTCTGCGTTCGTGCGTGCGTGTGTGATTTTTTTTGCCTTTTCTTTATTAAAATTATGGAGTGGATCAATGAATCTTCGTAATTATTAATTGAAGAATATGAAAAGTTGCCTATATTATGGGATGTTAAACATTCTTTGTATTATTAAAAAATAAAAAAAAAACACATGGCAAGATCTTGTAAATAAAATTAATATTGAATATGTCGATATTAATGAAATTGCTATTCTAAAATTTGTATCTTTTGTTCGTAATTTTTGGTGTTATTAAATTTTGTAAATATTCAAAGTTGGGTCTGGTCATTCTTGTAAAGTTTTTGAACCTATCATAGCCCTCCTCAGACACTACGTTGTTGCAGTAAATTATATCGATTTCTAAAAATTTGGGTTTGCCACCAGTGACGATGTTTTCGATTTTTCTCCTTTTTAATAATTAAGCTGTGCATAACGACTGCAGCCTCAACTATTTCTTAGTCGTCCATTATTTTCGCCAACACAACTCTGCTGCGCGCGCACAAATGGATCACTTCATTCGTCGAAAAATAAGTTTTTAATTTGAACGGAGCCGAACGAGCGCACGCTCAGCTCGTGCGTGCTCAAGTCTAAACGCACCATTGCATTAGGTTAATTTAAGTTTAGTTAGTTTATGTTAGGTTAATTTTAATTTCCAAAAATGTAATAATATTTAGGGTATTCGGTTTGAGATATCAAAGTTGCTATTGGTTTTCAATTAAAGCGGCAACATGTAAAAATTTAAATTTAAAAAAATCACCGGTTCTCCATAAACGTTTCACCATGAAAAACCATCACCGTGAATAACTCTAAACCACGCTGGCAACTCTTACTTTTGGGTCGATATTTACATGTTTGGAAATGAATCGCTTTGGGATCTTATTAAGTCGGAGTGAGAAAAATGCGACGGTCTGTTGTTGCGGCGTTGCTACATTTCTCAGAGATACAAGTACGCCTTTCTCTGTCTAGTGGAATAAAATCACTATCAAAAAGCGCTTCTTTTAAGTCTTTTTTTTTCGGAAAGATAACTACATGACATCTTTAGGTATGTTTCTGGGCATCTGAAATCGAGCTATAAGAATATCGTTAGGGTGGCAATTTTTTTATAATGAAGAAACATCAGGAATCGCGGTACTGCCCACTTTTACATATTTTCTTTTAATCAAAATATTTTAGGAAACAAAAATATAAATAATATATGTAGAAACAGTTATTATTTACATCAACAAAACTCACCTCCTTAACAACACTTGATGGACATGAAGGGCCATTACCGCTTTCCGTTCAAAATATTCTAATAAATTTGCAATGAGTTATTTACGGCTATTAAGCTATCTTGTACACTTCGCACTAAAAAGGGTTCTAAAAAGAACTATGTTCGGCTGCAAGGTCTGCTAGTAAAGAAATTTGAGCTTAAAATATTTTACCAAACATTTAAACCAAAAACTAGTAATACAAAACTAAAGTGTTAAAACGAATGACAGTGTCAGGAAATAAATAAATAAATGTTGCCACTTGACAATTTTACAGCAGAGCTACCACCTGAATACCCAGCGGGAAATTTAAGTTCCAGTTAGTCGCCCGGCGCCGAATATGTCCATGGTTGGCAACAATGAATTTAAAAATGGCGCTCTCGATTACGTACTAAAAGTTTAATTTTGTTGGGTATGATGAGAATAAGAATATAAACAATAAATTGTATGAAACACGTCACACAGATTTTGTCTTGATAATAATATGTGCGCTGTAGTTTAAAGAAAAACTTTGCAACTGAATTAAGAATTATAAAAATGTGGATGTTAATAAAGTTACGGTAATATTAAATATTAAATGAATTTAGTTTAAAACTATGGAAAATATATGAGCGTTTATCTGAAATTGCGTGGCTTTGAAAGTTCTCTTACAACTACGATTTTACTAAACCTCACGTTTCTAACTAAACTCTCTTTTTTATTATTCTGATCGTCGTCGTTTTACAAACGACACAGTAAATTTCACTGAACCTTCTTTTAATCGATAATTTAGAATTCCGCCGTTTGCGGAATCGTAAAAGAACAAAAGCAGCAAATGTCCTGAACGTCTGTTTACTTTCTATAAATCGTTGGTTATTTGGTATCTCACTTTTATACCGATTTTGTAAAAGAAATGGAACAGACTGAAAATTAGCCGTTGTTGGATTTAAAAATGAACTCTCTATGATATCTGACAAAACTGACCGTGACTCAAGTGTACCTAGAAGAAAAAAAAAAAGAAGTATTAGTGTCAAAAATATTTTGAACCTCTCTTAACATAACAAATTAATACATTTAATTTTTTTCATTTTTGGGTAGTTTATAGCTGGTTTATAGTAACCAGATAGAAACTTAAATAATATACCTATTTTACTTTTGTTTTAGGATTAAAACTGGACTTGAAAATGGTTCAGGGTCATGATTCTCGTAAAGTCTTCTTTGCTTGGATATTCACTTTGTTATTGCAATTAGGCAGTTGACAAAAACTGATGGTTAAAAAATGTAGGTACTTATTTAAACTTATTTAACAATGTGATTT